ACAGACATAAGTTACATAAGACCTGCTGTGTAAACTTCACCTATAATCAGTGCCACCTTTCCTATTTCAATAAATAAAAAGTGAATATTACCTAAGAAGTTCTTCCTCCTCTTCCCCTACCCACCTTGGAAACCACTAGTGAATATTAGTTTCTGTATATTTACCTATTCATGCCATTTCATAGACGTGAGAACATAATAATATTTTCATTTTCTTGTAATTGACTTACTTTGCGCAACATAATGTCCTCCAGGTTTATCCATATTACAAGATACTTTGGAAACTCATTTTTCTTTATCTCTGAGTAGAATTCCACTGTATGTATGTAACCAGTTTTACTTTTCCATTAATCTGTTGATGGGCACTCAGGTTTCTATCTTTTTGTTATTGCAAAGAGTGAGTACTGCAATGAACATAGGTGTGCATGGTGTTGTTAGGTGCCATCGAGTCGGTCCCAACCCATAGCAACCCTACATACAACAGAACGAACCACCGGCCAGTCCTGTGCTATCCTTACACTTTCTTCTATGCTTGAGCTCATTGTTGCTACTACTTTGCCAGTCCATCTCATAGGGAGACTTCCTCCATTTCGATGATCCTTCGATTTACGAAGCATGATGTCCTTCTCCAGGGACTGGTCCATCCTGATAATATGTCTGAAGTAGGAGAGATGAAGTCTGGCCATCTTGACTTTTAAGGAGCATTCTGGTTGTGCTTTCTCTAACACAGATTTGCTTGTTCTGGCACTCCATGGTACCTTTAATATTCTTCTCCAACATCATAATTCAAATGCATCAAGTCTTCTATGACTTTCCTGATTTACTGTCCAACTTTCAAATGCATATGAGGCTACTGAAAATACCATGGCTTGGGTTAGGTGCACCTTAGTCCTCAAACTGACATCTTTGCTCTTGAACACTTTAAAGAGCTCCTGCAGCAGATATGCCTAATGCAGTAGGTCATTGATATTTTGACTATTGATTTCATGAGTGTTGATGGTTGATCCAAGCAAAATAAAATCTTTTAGAACTTCAATCTTTTCTCTATTTATCATGATGTTATCATGTGTACTGGTTCTTTTATTAATTAAAAGATTAAATTGAAAAAAAAAAAAAAAGATATCTGTAATGGTTAGGATTCCAGAGGTTTAGCAGTTGTGATGTGCTTATTCCCATGGTGATGAAATCTAATAGCTCTATGATGAGTGGCTAGGAGCAGCTAATCAATTGAAGGGATGTTTCCTCGGGGGTGTGGCCTGTTCCCAATAGAGTGGACCTTCAGGAGGGACACTCTCTCTTTCCCGCTGGGAATCTGAGACTTTGCAATTTGTAAGCCATTTCCTTGATAAAAAACTTCTCTTTATATTTATGTGTGTGTATATATATTTCTCGGTTTTTGCTGCTCTAGAAAACCAGGCCTAAGATAACATCTGTTTATTTTACATTTATATGACAACTATAATTTTTTTTTTCCTGAAAATTAACCTCTGAAATCACTTGGGAGTGTGAATCTTCTTTCACAATCATTTAATGTGGTTGGTTTTACTGATACAAAATTACTTCTAAAATTTTCTGCTTGTTTAACTACATGGCAGGAACTGTTATTGTGGTTAGGTGCATAGCAATCCTATGCACAACAGAACGAAGCGGTGCCTAGTCTTGTGCCATCCTCACAACTGTTAGGATTTAGGCCATTGTTGCAGTCATTACGTCAATCAATCTTATTGGACGTCTTCCTCTTTTTCACTGACCCTCTACTTTACCAAACATGATGTCTTTTTCCAGGGACTGGTCCCTCCCTGATAACATGTTCAAAGCATGTGAGATGTAGTCTCACCATCCTTACCATTAAAGGGCATAATGGCTATATTTTTTTCCAACAAAGATGTGTTTGTTCTTCTGGCAGCTCATGGTACTTTCAATATTTTTTTACCAACTCCATAATTCAAATGTATCAGTTCTTTGATCTTCCTTATTCATTGTCCAGCTTTCACATGGTTATGAGGCTACTGAAAATATCATGGCTTGGGTCAGGCACAACTTAATCCTCAAAATACATCTTTGCTCTTTAATACTTTAAAGAGATTATTTTTTCCCCCAGAAGATTTGCTCAGTGCAATATGTCATGTGATTTCTTGACTGCTGCTTATGTAAGGGATGATTGTAGATCCAAGTAAAATGAATTCCTTGACAACTCAGTATTTTCCCATTTACCATGATGTTGTCTATAGGTCTAATTGTATGGATTTTTGTTTTCTTTACAGTGCATTGTAAAACATTCTGAATGTAATACATGAATGGCAGGCACTAACTGAGCTTAATAGTGTCTCATTCTGCTCTCCTGGTGCTTTTGATGTAATTATGGACATGAATTAGTGACTGTGACCCTGTAGCATAAGCACTGGATTGCTAAATATAAGGTCTGTGGTTCAAACCTACCAGTTGCTCCTCAGAAACCCTGTGAGGGTCATTATGAGTAGGAAGTGACTCAAGGACACTTAACAACAACATGGACTATTCAGGAACCCTGGTGGCACTGTGGGCTAGGTGTTGGACTACTAACCACAAAGTCATCAGTTGAAACCCACCAATCAAGGAGACGGATTGGCACAGTGGCAGCAGCAATGTGTTCAAGCATAACAATTGGAGGATGGCACAGGACCAGACAGTGTTTCATTCTTTTGAGTTGGAGCCGACTTGATAGCACCTAGCGTAGTAGTTATGAATCGGGCTGCTAATCTCATGGTCAGCAGTTCAAAACTACCAGCTGTTTCGCGGGAGAAAGATGAAGCATTCTGCTCCCATAAAGATTTACAGCCTCTGAAACCCTGTGCAGGGTCACTGTGAGTCAGAACAGACTCCACGGCACATAAACACCACCACAAAAACCCATTCAATTACTTGGTGAGAGTTAAGAACACTTTGGATAGAAAAGCCACATCAAGTAAATTCACAGTACCATAATTGGATAAAAGATATTATTTAAAAATTACTTCTTTTTTCTGTTTTTAAAAAGTGGTTACTAGGAAATTTGGAGTCTCTGGGTGATGCAAACAGCTAAGTGCTCAACAAGAAGTAATCTACTTCTAAAGGTCACAGCCTTGAAAATCCTGAGAAGCATAGTTCTAACATAGATGGGGAATGAGTTGGAATACTCAATGGCAGCTAACAACTAGATAGAAGGCTCACATCATATGTAGAGGATTAAAAAACTTAATGTAATCTTTCCACAAACTTTTTGAAGTCCCCTTGGAATTCTATGGGACAGGGTTCTGCTCCACCTATTTATTGCTTCCTTTTTTTTTTTTTTTTCAAACCCCCTGAGGCTTCCAAGTAGTCGGAACCCTCTTTTCTGCTTTTCTTTCCTTCCCAAGTGATCACATCATCTAGTTTATTCAGTCATGAATATGAGGGTTATGGGATTCTTAGAGAATTTAAACCATCACAACTTAACAGAAACGGTTTGTTGGTATTGGGATCTGACCTGGAGGCATAGGGGTTAATCGCTAACCCTAAGGAAGGTTGTGTTCATATAACCAGCCACTAAGGGAAACAGAGGGAGGTTAGCAGAGGAAAGATGAAGGTAGCAGGAGCCATAGGGAAGAATGCAATAAAGTGAGTAAAGGTAAATGCTGTTAACTGTTGGTGCATGGGAGGGATTACAGCCATGTAGTGAAGCAAAGTGTATGGTTTTTGGAATGTAAAACTGATGATCTGCTCTCTCTCTAAACCTTCATTCAATTAACAATAAAAAGTTGTTTTTTTTTTTTTTAAATGAAGAAATTCTTTACATTTTAAATGAAAAAATAAAAAATCTTGAAGCCAAGAATCTAGTACACAGGCTTGTTGGCCCAATAATATGCTTTCACAAAACTATCTAAGGACTTTCCAATTCTGGTTTTGTTTAAAGAGGGAAGGAAGCAAGTGTGATTCATGTGTCAAACATAAATAAGGAAAGAAAACTCAGAAAAAAAAATCATCACTAGTCACTCATGTTAACATGTGTCTGTCCTCTAGCCCAAGAATAATTTTCCCTTTCCCTGTTCCCCTCATAACTATTATAAATTATTTTTTATCAAGAAAGCCTTTTTTTTTTTTTTAAACAGAACAACTTTACGTTAGTTCATCCCCTGTTTATCCTTTGTGATGGACTAATTTCACTCAGCGTAATGTTCTGGAGGCTCAGCCATGTTGTGAGGTGTTTCACAGATTCATCATTGTTCTTCAATGTTTTGTAATGTTCCGTTGTGTGAATGTATCAAAGTTGGCTTAGACATTCTTCTGTTAATGGGCATTTACCCTGTCTCCATCTTTTTGATATGTTTCTTGCAGGCAGCATGTTGAAGAATCCTGTTTTCTTATCCATTCTGCTCTTTGTATCTCTTCACATTTATATTCAGTGTAAGGAACTCTGGTAGCGTAGTGGCTGCAAATCGGGCTGCTAATCTCATGGACAGCAGTTCGAAACTACCAGCTGTTCCATGGGAGAAAGATGAGGCTTTCTACTCCCGTAAAGATTTACAGCCTCGGAAACCCTGTATACAGGGTCGCTATGAGTCGGAACCGACTCTACGGCACATAACAACAATAACAAGGGAAACAGAGTCCTACTGTGGCGCTGTGGGTTAATGCGCTGAATTGCAAGGTTGGCTGTTCAAGCTCACCTGCTGCTCCTTGGAAACACAATACAGGGTCGCTATGGGTCAGAATCGACTCGATGGCACTCAAACAAAACAACAAGGAAAACAGATGTGGCAGTAGGCTTCCTTAAAATTTGTAACCTCAGAAATCCTATGGAAAAGTTTTACTGAGTGAGTCTGAATAGAATGACAGTGGAGCAGATGGGCTTCTGGCCACCAGGGGGAGCTGCGTTGCCGCCCGTCGTTGCTGAACATCCTGTAGCCCGGAAATAGTTTTCCTGCCCGCCTGGAGGTGGCCGCCCGCGGGGAGACTTCCGGTGGGGCGGAGGCGTAGCGAGCCGATTTCCGCAGTAGCCGCACGATGACCACGCTCAGGGCCTTCACCTGTGATGACCTGTTCCGCTTCAACAATATGTGAGTGAGTCGCCCGGGAACGGCGATTGTGCGTTGGCCCCGCCTCGGGTTAGCGGAGGCTACACGCGCCTCCAGGCTCGAGGACCAGGCGGGCGGGAGGGCGGACGGCTCGAGGCCAGGTCCAGCGCGCGGACGTGTGGCTCCGGACGGGCTCTGGGACGTCTTGCTGCTTCTTGATGTTGATCACGGTCAGGTGGCCAGGCCGGAAGTCCCGGTCGCAGAGAGCCGCTGGGGGAGTCGAAAGGACGTGGAAGGGCGCAGAGTGCGGGGACAGTCGCTAGTGTGCCCTGCGTGGAGGTCGGCGGTAAATAGCCCGGCACGGTTCGCTTGTCTCTAAAAGAGGGAACATTGTAGACCTTGCACCCCAACTCAGTGGCTGCTGGTATAAATAAATTTTGTTTTTTGGCTTCGCACCACGTCGTCAACACCTTTTTGTCTCCGGTGAGCGGTGGGCAGATGCCTGGGCAGCCCAGTGTAAGACTTGAGCCAGCCCGGCAGGCCTTGTAAGTTTCAAATACTTTGTCCTGATGAAAATATGAACATTTCTTAGCATTTAGACAAGTTGAAAGAATTGGACTGTGAGCGCCAGTAAACACATCCCTTGGATTACAGTTAACATTTTGTTACATTGGCTTCATTACCTGTCCCTTAAGCGATCAGTCCTGGACCCACTTTTAGGTTTTACTGTTGTTAAGACATAGGATTTTCAAGTTCAGTTCTGGGCTGAAGGTAGACATTTGAGGATTAATTTTATATGGTGGCGGTGGTGGTGTGCCATTGAATCAGTTCCGACTCATAGCAACCTTGTATAGGGTTTCTGAGGCTGTAAATCTTTACGGGAGCAGAAAGCCTTATCTTTTTCCCATGGAACGGCTGGTATTTTCGAAGTGCTGATCTTGAGGTTAGCAGCCCGACTCATAACCACTACGTTACCAGAGTACCTTACTTTATATGTTGTTGTTGTTAAGTCCCGTGGAGTTGGTTCAGACTCATAGTGACCCTACACAGGGTTTCCAAGGCTGTAAATCTTTAAGGGAGCAGACCGCCTCATCTTTCTCCCTCGGAACCGCTGGTAGTTTCGAACTGCCGACCCTGAGGTTAGCAGCCGGATTCATAACCACTACGCTATGCTACCAGAGCTTTACTTTATATGTTGTTACGTGCCAGCGAGTCAATTCTGACCCAGAGCGACCCTGTATAGGGTTTCTGAGGAGCAGCTGGTGAGCATGATGTAAAACCACAAGGCTAGGGGACATCATTGATGGAGTGAATGAATGTAAGTAGAAAACAAGTTCAAGGAGAGTGCCCCAGGACACTCAGGTGTTAGAGCTCAGAGACAGGAAGAATAGCCAGTAGAGGAAACTAAATGGCCTAGTGAAGTGGCAGAGAAACCAAGATGTTGGGGGCTTAGAAACCACATGAAGAGAGCATATTCAGTGGAGGGAGTAGGGAAACTATGTCAAGAACTGGTGCTAAGTGTATAGCGTATTTGTACATTTCTTCTGGGGGAGAGAACTGCAGGAGCAGGATGCTAGTTAGTGAGGGGTAGGATCTACTCCCCAGCATTCTTTTTGTGGCTTCAGAAAAGCAAGTTGGAGAATATAGGTTAGTGAGTTTGGTGGTGGGACTTGGGTGAAGCTTTCTTTTTACTGTGTTTTCTTTGTGAAATAAGGAGCAGCTGAGATCTTGAAGAGGGAGGGTGGAGGCCTCTTGGAGAGTTGATAGATGAGAGGGTATATAAGATAGTCATCAGGAAGTGTGGGAGAGTGAATCTCAACTCTGGACTAAAGCACACTTTTCCAAGTATATAGCCTGTGGGTATGGGGTCTCCACATAGTTGTTTTATGAATTTGTGAGGTCAAAGCTATTGTCATGATAATCCTAGGATTTTTTTTTCCCCTTTTACAGACATTCATTTTCTTTCAAGTATATATATTTACAAGTTTTCCAGATGTGTGGTCTTATAACAGATTAACTGTAGAAGCAGATAGGAGAATCCAGCAGCCTTCTATTAAGTCAGCCATTAAAGAGATTCATAAAGCAATGCTACTTTTGCCACTAAAGTTTTTGTTTTGGAAACTGTATTTACTTTTGTGAAAATGACTCATTAACATATAAATTTACTTATAAACCAATAAGTAAATATTTAAAATTTGAAAATACCAATAGTTATAGTTCACATAAAAGCTTTTGGAGGTCCTCATGGTTTTAGATTAAAGGGGTACAAAAACCAACAAGTTTGAAAACTGCTGGACTAAAGAAATGACTGTCAGCATCATTAAGGGTTCTGAAGAAGAATTTGAGTGTGGAAAAAGGCAGTAAGGTCCATCCACATGAAGAGGTGAAGGTAGCTGATTTTGAGAATGGCAAAGTAATAGGTCCATTAATCGAATAGGATTGTGGGGTCAGAGCTCATTGGGGATGGAAGAGGTGGCCAGTGTTAAGAATCTTAAGTGTTAAGATTTGGGAGGTAGTGATGGGGATGCTGGTGAGGCATCAGAGCCCATTTGGGGAGGCTTCCTCTGAAAAGATACCATTGAAAGATAGGGATGCGGGACCTGAGATGGGGAGGTGAGAATGGGAGGGCAAAGGCTGAGTGGTCAGAGTACCCACATTTAGAAGACTGGATGGTGGTTGTGGTTGTGTCCCACACACAACTCTGTATGGGGTTTCCGAGGTTGTAAATCTTTACGAGAGCAGAAAGCCTCATCTTTCTTCCGTGGAGTGACTGGTAGATTTGAACTGCTGACCTTGCGGTTCACAGCCCAACTTGTAACCCTCTACACTAACACTGTCAGGACTCCTTAGAGGACTGGACAGAGGAAGAAAAACTTGTCAGGGAAGGCTCAGAGACAAGATGGGGAGGGTTCACATAGTCACATGCTGGCACAGGCTGGGTTTACCTTGTTTTTGTAACATATTAGGGTAAGTAAAAAGTATTGCTACTAGGGATCTAGACTCCTGGTGTGGCGCTGTAGAATCAGCACTGGACTGCGAACCACAAGGTCGGCAGTTCAAGCCCATTAGTTGCTCTTAGGAAACCCTATACAGGGTCACTATGAGTCGGAACCGACTTGACAGCACTTAACAATAACAACACTAGGATCTAGTTCATCTATGTTGTTGCTGCTAAGTGCCATCTAGTCGGTTCTGACCCATAGTGACCTTGCATGGGGTTTCCAAGGAGCGGCTGGTGAGTGAACCACTGACCTTGCAGTTCAAACGGCTTTGCAGTCTCGCACACTAACCCACAGCGCCATACCAGTTCATCTATACATGGGTTTATTCCAAAGAAAACCTGTTTAAATATGTCTCTGCAATCACCAGATACTGCAGACAAGTTCTCTCAGTAGTACACAAGTCTTAGTCACGTTGCTGTTGATGTTAAGTACCATGGAGTCGGTTCCGACTCATAGTGACCCTGCACAGGGTTTCCGAGGCTGTAAATCTTTATGGGAGCAGAAAGCCTCATCTTTCTCCCGTGGAGCGGCTGGTAGTTTCGAACTGCTAACCTTAAGGTTCACAGCCCGATTCATAACCACTACGCTACCAGAGCTTATGGGGAGAAAGTCCAAAGGTCCAATCAAAACCTTGGCTTCTGAGGGGATCTGCTAGGTTTGTTAATTTCAGGGCAGAGAGGTCAGCTCAGAAGGTTATGGCAGCTGTTTTGTGGGGACCCCAAGGGGGTTGTCTTGATGGAGGAAATACGAAGTTTAAACAGCTTTGGGGAGAAACAGGTTAAGTTGTACAGAGGAATTTTTCCCGTTATGATGATGTACCTGCTTATTCTTCCACAGTGGCAAGGACTGTCCTATGAGAGTGTCATTGAGAAGCTATACTCCATCCACCCTACAGACTCTGTCGTTCATCTTTAGACTTTAGTTCTTAGAACTCAAAGAGTACTTATAAGGGAACATGATTTGAATCCCATGAGGATGCCCAAACTGCCGTTATTTTGATGTGGTGTAAAATTAAAAAGGGTTAGCGAGATGGCAACTTTTCTTTCAGTAGTTTATAGACCTAGATAGAGAATATGTTGAAAAACAATAGCTTCTTGTTTTGATAGTTTTATTTCAAAAAGGTTGCTATGATTTTGTAGCAGTACTTTTTGACTTATGCTAGTATTTCCTAGTTGTTTCCCATTTTGCATTAATAATCTACTGCCCTTTAGAAATTAGAAAGATTTGTTGTTAAAGTGTCGTCAAGTCAGTTCTGACTCATAGGGACCCTGTACAGGGTATCCGAGGAGCTGCTGGTGAGTTTGAACTGCAGGCCTTGCGGTCCAGTGCTTATCCTACAGCTCCACACCAGGACTCCTTGATACAGATTTAGTAACTGTAATTTGTAAAGAAGGAAATGTTTAATGAAAATGTATAGATGACTTTAAAGTCTTGTAATGGCTTACGTGGCCATTATTAAGCTATCTTGTTTGACCCTAAAGTTGATCTTAAAAGTTGTGGATTTAGCATGTATTGTTTTCCTTTATGTTTCATTGGGCTGTTTAAACTTGTTTTTGTAAACAGTGCTTACTATTGACATTTTTCTTATTTCTTTCAGTAACTTGGATCCACTTACAGAAACTGTATCCTTTCTTTAAAACATTACGTGAAGATTTTCTAAGAGGAAAGGAAATGGAGAAAACAAAAGGAAAACTTACGGGTCATGAAACTTCATAAGCAGTAATGAAAGAAACTAAAAAAAGAAAACTGGGAACAAGAGTTTTTTTTAAATGTGTTTGACAAATTGTTACTAATGATGACCTCATATAAATTGACTTGTGGCTGTTTACAACAGGAAGCACCGAGACTTGGGGCTGGATTACATCTCTTTGCTGTAAACCCTGTTTGGAGATAAGTTGTCTAGGCCAGGTAGTGGCTTCTTGTAGTCACCAGCTGACTGAGTTCCTGGCATATTAACCATTCTACCATTCCTAGGGTGGCACTTTGTCCTCCTCTCCCATATGTGCTCCTACACTTGCTCAGAAATGTGCCCAGCATAAATTGTTACTAAAGTAAAGAGGAGCTCTGGTAGCATAGTGATTATGAATTGGGCTGCAAACTGCAAGGTCAGCAGTTCGAAACTACCAAGCTGTTCTGCGGGAGAAAGATGAGGCTTTCTGCTCCCGTAAAGATTACGGCCTTGGAAACCCTGTACAGGGTCGCTATGGGTCGGAAGCGACTTGACGGCACATAACAACAACAACAAAGTTGTGTAAATGTAAATAGCCTCCACATTTCTGCAGCTTAAAACACAAAATCGGATTTTGGGGTTATGTGCATTGTCCATTCAGCTGGGTAGGAAGGTTCTATTAAATGACAATTTAACAATAGGGTATATACGAAACTAATAAGAGTTCATACTCAACAGTCAAAAGATGTGATTTAAAATAAAAATGAGATGGCCATATTTTACCTATCAAATTATCAAGTATTTATAAAAATGAGACAACTGAAAGCTGGTGAGGGTGAGAACATGCTCATAAAATGCTAATGAGAGCCTTGGTAGTGGGTAACTATGATGGAGCTTTATTTCCTCAGAAACCCGATTGTTGTTAAGCGCCATTGAGTTGGTTCTGACTCACAGTGACCTTGTAAAGTGTTTCCAAGGTTGACCATCTACCATGTGGTTCAAACCAACCTTGCATTCCAATGGTTTATCCCATAAAGCCACACCAGGACTCCCAGAAAACCACCAGAGGGTTGGAATGGACTCAGTGGAGTGGCTTGGGTATGAATTCCTATAACCTTTCAGAAATGGAGGCATTCATATCAGGAGTTGGCAAACTATGGCCTGCTTTTGTACCATTTTATTGGAACATAGCCATGCCAATGAATTTATGTATTGTATGTGACTTTCGCACATTGAATCATTTGACAGAGATCCCATGGTACAAAAAGCTAAGTATTTACTATCTGGCCCTTTACAGAAACAGTTTGCTGAGCCTTGAGTAATACCATTATAAAAGTGTTTATTACAGGGGAATCATATTAAAAATTTGGAATAATGTTCACAAACAAATTATACTGTATTCATGAAGGATTTAAAAAGTTTTTTGAGAACTTGGAAATGGCTCAGACATCTGCTGTCAGGAGACAGGATATTTTAACTATTCATTCATTCACACAGTGGAATACTGTACAGCAGTACATACCAATTAACTTACAGGTTTTAGCAATAACATGGCTATACACTAGAAATAAAGTTGAGTGAGAAAAGCAAAAGCATTTCTATAATTTTCATTTATATTTTAAATTTTGTTGATGATTAAAGTCTTGTCTCTTTTTTAAAAGGTATGTATGTTTTGTTTTTAAATTTTGTTTTGTTGTTGAGAATACTGACTGTCATTGAGTTGATTTTGATTCATAGCAACTCTATAGGATAGAGTAGAACTGCTGCTTAAGATTTCCCGAGACTAACTCTTTATGGGAGCAGTCTCATCTTCTCCAGTGGAGCAGTTGATGGGTTTGAACCGGTAGCTTTGTAGTTAGCTGCCTGATGTTTAACCCACTGGGCCACCAGGGCTCCTTGTGAGAATACACACAGTAAAACATACACTAATTCGTTTCTACACATACAGTTTAGTGATATTGATGACACAATTGTTATTTGAGTTGTGCAAAGCCATTCTTGCACAACCACTCTGGCCCCCCTTTTCTGAGTTCTTCCTCCCTCATTAACAAACTCATTGCCCCTTAAGATTTGTATCTCATCTTTGAATTTCTGTTGTCAAGGATCTTAAACAGCTCTTAAAAGAGCATGATGGTAACCTACTACTTTAGGATGACTTCAGAGGATATTTTTGTGGTTTATGATTTAAGCATTATCTAAGGGAAGTAGTTCCAAGGGAAAAAATGGCTGTTGAAAAATTCTGAATGACAGAAAAGAAAAAGTACCAGGATGCAAATCAACTATTTTTCCAGTTACATGTAAATTTTACATTAGAAGTCTTGTAGTCCAGGTAGACCTAGATTTGAAAGTAACCTGTTTGTTCCTAGTGTTCAGGAGAAAGAAAGGTGAGTATGGTGGGTGCTCATTATGTTGTGTGTCAGTTACTGGGTTTATTGTAGTCCAGGTAGACCTAGATTTGAAAGTAACCTGTTTGTTCCTAGTATTCAGGAGAAAGAAAGGTGAGTATGGTGGGTGCTCATTATGTTGTATGTCAGTAACTGGGTTTACAGAAAGTCAGGTTGGCTTGCCATGTGTGTTTGAGGAGTACTCAAAATAATAGCTGTCCTTACAAAGAGAGTGTGAAGAATTTAACACTGAATAGATTTTTCTGGAATTTGTTTTCTGTATGATTAATGGTTTTCTCACTATTGTAGCCCCTAAACACACTAAAAAGAAACATGTCATTAAAGATACCCAAAATGGAAGATTTAACACATTATTCTGGCATTCCCTCTTAACATACTTGATTACTTTAATCAGCTCAAAGATATTTGGAGAAATTGAATCACTGGAGAGAGAAAACTGGTTAAGTTGCATCTCAAAATATTTAAGTTTAGAAAGTTATTTTCTTAGCTGAAGTCCAAGTAGAAACTAGCCATTAGTTTTCAGTTGGAATTACGGAAACACAACTGTATTAGGCATCTCCTGTGGGTCAAGCACTAGGCACTATGGATAGAGAGAATAGGGCAAAGATCTCACATTCTGATGGAGAGAAGGTAGGCAGTGAACAGACTGAAGAAATGTCAGGTGATGGTAAGGGCTATGTAGAGATTTAGACAATGTGATCAGTGAAACAAATTAAAAAAACTTTGGAGCCCTAGTTTCTGCTTTCTATTAGATGATATCTGTATTCCACATTTAAGGTTATATGTTCAAGGAATTTCTTAAAAGTCAGTGTTTATCTCTGTACTCATATGACTATGATTATAAAAATATAGAGAGCTAAAGATAAAGTCACAAATAAATTTTTTAAAGGAAACTTTTTACTGTTATTCACACTCCTTAACATGACTCTAGTATGGGATTCCTTTTTACTTGCAGTACCTTGCCCACTGGCCAGAGTATTTCATCGTTGCAGAAGCACCTGGTGGAGAACTAATGGGTTACAGTAAGTAATACCACTAGTACTTTTGGGGGTAGGTAGTTAAGCTATGGGTTAATGTTCTGGACTGCAGAGTTGTTTTGAACTGCAAGGTCGGAAGTTCAAGCTCACCAGCCGCTCCTTGGAAACCCTGTACAGGGTTGCTGTAGGTCAGAACTTAACGACGACACTTAACAAGTTAAGGTTTTAATATATAGGTTTTATCCTGTTTGCAAATTTGGAACTACTGTGTAATCCGGTGCCTTTATTATTATTTCCATTCCAACCATTCAACAATTTATTGATGTCATCAGGTTTTAGGCATTATGCTAGGTCCAGGGGTAAAGCAATGAACCAGATAGCCATGGTCGCAGTCTTCACGAATCTTTCCTTCTATGAGAGGATAAGTCAAAATATATTGCTACATAAATCATAGAAATTATTATTAAAACAAAATGCTTCTTGACCTATCCCCCATCTAGGTTTATACACTTGCCCAAAGAAATCTGTGCTCTTTGGTTTACACTGTGTCAAAATGGTAGTTTTGGTATCTTTCTTGTTAAGTGTCATCAAGTCGATTCTGACCCATAGCGACCCTGTATAGGATTTCCAAGGAGCAGCTGGTGAGCTTGAACCGCCGACCTTACAGTTCAAACGGCTTTGCAGTCTGGTGCATTAACCCACAGCGCCACACCAGGACTCCTTGGTATCCTTGAGGGACTCAAATTGTGTTCCTAGTAAATGCACTTGGAATTTTGAGAAGAAGAAATCTGAAGAAAAAAAAAAAAAAAAGTCTGAAGGGACGAGATCAGGGCTGGAGGGTGGATGGGGTAAGTAAGGCTCCCCAACAAAATGGGACAGCCCTTGCTACCCTTAACAATGAGCAAGTCCATTGGCATGATAGAAAAAATTCTTCAGAACAACTTTTTTAACTTTTTTTTCTCCCCAATGCAGCTTTCATTTTTCTTAAAACTTCTTCCCCATAAGACCTTGTGATTGTCCAGTGTCCTTTGAGAAAATCTATTAAGATTACCCCTTTGGAATTCCTAAACATAGTTACCGTAATCTTCTGAGTTGAATTTAAGTTGCTGACCTGACTTGAACTTAACTGGCTTAGCAGATCCCTTTGGAGTATGGTGACTCTGTAGGATATTCACTGGATTGCAAACCATAAGGTGGTAGTAGTTCAAGCCACCAGCTATTCCAGGGGAGAATAGTGAGGCTTTCTTCTCCCACAAAGATAACAGCTCTGGAAACCCTAATCTGAGTCGCTCTGGGTTAGAACTGACTTAATGGCCCTTAGCAGCAGCAGCAGCAGCCAATCCCTTTGGAAGTCACAATTTTGATTGGACCTTTTTTTGAAGGCACCCTAATGAGACTAAGACAAATGTACCACTGAGAGAACTTGTCTGCAGCCATTCATTGATGTTTAAACAGACATTTAAACATGATTTGTTGGAATAAACCTGTGCATATATAACTGGATTTCTACTAGCACACTTTTTGACTTATCCTTGTATTAAGTTTCTGTATGATTTAGTTGGCACATAATATGCTAAACACATGTTTTTGGTAGAGGTGTATTAGTAGTGTTTTTGTTTTTAAGTCCTGTTGAGTCAGTTTCGATTCAGTGTTCCTGTACAGGATTCTGAAGAGTGGCTGGTGGGTTTCAACTGCCAGTCTTGTGGTTAGCTTGCCCTACAATGCCACACCAGTACTCTGACTTTTTACAAAGTCAGGTTTTGAGTATATCATTCCCTTTTCTTAAAAAAAAAAACAACAAAAAAAAAAACCCTCTAATACTGGTCCTAGAACTAGATTTAATATTTCATTGTACGTGAAATTAAAATACAAGCACTAACTGTTAGTTTTGTTGTTAAGTGCCATTGAGTTGGTTCCATCTCATAGTTAGTTTTGTTGTTGTTAAGTGCAGTTGCATTGGTTCCGATTCATACCAACTTGTGTAGGGTTTCCGAGCATCTACTTGACCTTAAATCATACTTAAAAATGAAAACTGCTGTTTCCTTTGTAATAAAAACATACCAGCAGTAACTACATATGTATACCTAACTGTGTGTTTAACTACTGAATGTAAATTTTTGTTGGCAGTCATGGGGAAAGCAGAAGGCTCAGTGGCAAGGGAAGAATGGCACGGACACGTCACAGCTCTGTCTGTTGCCCCAGAATTTCGACGCCTCGGTTTGGCTGCTAAACTTATGGAGTTGTTAGAAGAGATTTCAGAAAGGTAAGATATATTTAATGATTTGTTAGATCCTAACCATTTCATTTTTATCTTGGTGACCGTTTCTAAGTTGTTTTTTTCCTTCACGCTGAATTTCTGTTGTGCTTTAAAGTTTCAGGAATTTCATTTTAAGCTTCCTCATAACAATTCTAATATTCAGAGCAGTCCTAGTATGGCACTGTAGGATGAGCACTGGACTGCAAGGTTGGTTTCAATTATAAGGTTGGTGGTTCAAACTCACTAGCTGCTCTTCGGAAACCCTATACAAGATCGCTATGAATTGGAACTGACTTAACAGCATTTAGAAATTGTCCCCATTTTGCCAGAGTGCTATAGGCCAAAAGAAATACCTATTACTTCAATCTGAAAACAGTTATGTTCAAATTGCTTAATAAGCATCACATATGGCTTAACCTAATAACTGGAAAAAAATAACATTGAAAGAAAAAATATTTTTATTTCATTCATGAATAACTATGGTTGCATTGATGTCTCAAACCATTTTTGCACTGGTATCTACATTCCCAGACTCCTGCTATGGCACTGTAGGATAAGCACTAGACCACTAACTACAAGACTGGCAGTTCAAACCCACCAGCCAACTCTTGGAAACGTTATATGGGTTACTGTGAGTCAGAACTGACTTGACAGCAATTAACACTAGCCACCTGCATTCCATTTCCTGTTCTTATTTGATACTTAAAAAAACAAATCGCGAAAACCCAGCTTCATAAAGATATTTCATCAAAAGGAATGTAGCATGATCTTGCGCTTTAATTTGTGAACTACCTCAAACTAATAATTTGTCATTCTGGTTTCACCAAGTTTTCCCTGAACATTTAAAATATCCTGTGGTGCCTGAGTTTGCTGGGGTGCCTTTGATGCACAGTTAAAAACTGCCAAGATTATGGCATAGCTATATAGGGATGCAAATGGTTACTGTGCTCGGCTACTAACCAAAAGGTTGAAAGTTCAAGTCCATCCAGAGGTGCCTTGAAAGAAAAGCCTGCTAATCTACTTCCCCCAAAAATCAACTGTTGAAAATCTTGTGGACAGTTCTACTTGACATACATGGGGACACCATAACTTAGAATTGATTCCACACCAAGTGGTAGGTACCGTCATGTGAGTTAAAAAGCAGTACAGTAATTAAAAGCAAAAAACTCGTTTCCTAGTTCTGTTTTAAAAGAGATAAGAGACATATGGATGGCTTTAGAAAGTTTGTGGAAAAATGGAATGAAAAGATAATGGAATTTTTCTACAAACTTTTTGAAGCCCCCTTGTATATGTAAGTTTAACCATTTGTCAAGCTTCCGTTTCTTTTTCATCTACAAATGCCTAGAGGCTTAGAAAAGAGACAGTAGTTGCTGAGAAGGGCTTTGAGGTTTCATTTCCACTGAATATATTTAATAAAGGTAAATTTTAAAAAGTAATCGTGTTTTGGCAAACACTGAGCCAAGTTGGGGGCAAGAGGAACTTGAACTCATTCAGACAAGAGAGGAAATGAAGTCAACTCTTATGGTTAAGTGTGTCACCTGGACCAAAGAAGCAGTTGTCTGAACAGAACATGGGAACACTGAACTGTTTAAAATTAAAAAGGTGTGCAACAAGGTTGTATTCTTTCACCATACTTATTCAGCCTGTATGCTGAGCAAATAATCTGAGAAGCTGGCTTATATGAAGAAAAATGTAACATCAGGATTGGAGGAAGACTCATTAACAACCTGCGATATGCAGATGATACAACCTTGCTTGCTGAAAGTAAAGAGGATTTAAAACATTAACTGATGAAGATCAAAGAGCACAGCCTTCTGTAGGGATTACATCTTAATGTAAAGAAAACAAAAATCCTCACCACTGGACCAATAAACAACTTTCTTATCAACGGAGAAAAGATTGAAGTTGTTAAAGACTTCATTCTTCTTGGATCAACTATCAACACTCAAGGAAGCAGCAGTCAAGAAATCAAACGACATATTGCATTAGGTAAATCTGCACAAGACCTGTTTAAAGTGTTCAAGAGCAAAGATGTCAGCTTGAGGACTAAGGTGCGTTTGACCCAAGACATGGTATTTTCAATAACCTCATATGCATGTGAAAGCTGGACAGTGAATAAGAAAGACCGTTGAAGAATTGATGCTTTTGAGTTATGGTGTTGGAGGAAAATAATGAAAGTGCCATGGGCTGCCAAAAGAACCAATAGATCCGCTTTGGAAGAAGTGCAGCCAGAGTGCTCCTTGGAGGCCAAGATGGCCAAACTTCGTCTCTCATACTTCGGACATATTGTCAGGAGGGACCAGTCACTGGAGAAGTATATCATGTTTGGTAAGGTGGAGGGTCAGCAGAAAAGAGGAAGATCCCAAACAAGACAGATTGGCCAAGTGGCAGCATCGATGGACTCAAGTGTGGCAACAGTAGTGAGGTTGGCTGTGCATAAGGTTGCTTTGGGTCGGTACCGACTCGATGGCATCTAACAATAACAACAAGTGGAGAGAAAAACTACATCCGTGGATTATAGGACTTGATATTTTAAAATGCACAATTCTCTCCATATTGATCCACATACGCGATTGTATTCAAGTCAAAATCTCAAGTATTTTTGTATGACTTGATAAGGTGACTCTAATTTGGGGGAATAAAAAGAGTCAAGAAAAGAAACAAAATGGGTGGATTTTCCCTTTCAGATTAGAAAACTACTAAGAATGTGTATTAGGGCTGGGCTAGGTGTCTAGGCCAGTGGAACAATTTGAGAAACAGATCCAAGCATCCATGGATTCTTGACATATCTGATAGGCGGAGACACAGTAGAGCAATGGTGAGAAGATAAGACTATTATGAGAAAAAACTTTCTCAGATTACTACCTTACGAGACATAAAATATCAGTTCTTGATTTATTTAAAACTAGACATGAGAAACAAAACTAAAAGACCCTGTAGATAATATAAAAAGAAGTACAGTGGCTCTGTAGGATAAGCACTGGATGGCTAACTACAAGGTCAGCATTTTGAGCCCACCAGCCACTTTGTGGAAGAAAGATGAGGGTTTTTGCTCCTGCATAGATTTACAGCCTCCTGAAACTCTATACAAGGAGCTCTGATAGGGTAGTGGTTATGAATCGGGCTGCTAACCTCAAGGTCAGCAGTTCGAAACTACCAGCTGTTCTGTGGGAGAAAGATGAGGCTTTCTGCCCCCATAAAGATTTACAGCCTTGGAAACCCTATACAGGGTCGCTATGAGTTGGAACAGACTCCACAGCACATAACAACAAAACTGTATACAGGGTGACTATGAGTTGTAACTGACTTGATAGCACTTAACAACATGAGTGTACGGTAGAGAAGAATTTCTTAAGGAATACAAAGCACTAACTATGAAGGAAAGGTTTATATATTCAACTTCAATGATGTTACATGGTATCATGAAAAGATACCATAAGGATAATGACAAGACATACTGTAAGTTAGAATCTATTGGCAGAACATTACAGGATTGACTATCCAGAATACATACAGAACTATAACTGTGAAAAAAGAAAAATGTGTGGCTCCAAATGGCTGGTAAACATAAAAATGATCTAAGCCTTGTTAGTGTTCAGAAATGTGAATTGAAGTCACACTGAGATACCATTATACTGTAAGTTTGGCAAAAATAAAAATGTCTGATAGAACAAGCCTTGGTACTGTGGGACTAGAACTTTACCCACTTAATGTGGGAGTGTAAATTGGTACAACCCGGCTGGAAACAGTTTGGCATCATCTAATAAAAGCTGAAGGTATACATACTCCAATGAGCAATATTGACATTCCTAGATGTAGACCTTAAATATTGTACCATGAGACGCACAATAAGAATACTCACAGCAGCTTGTAGTGTGTAATAATAAAAAGTGGAAATGTTTATCAGTAGGATCATAGTTGTGGCAGAATGATAAAGCAGAAGCGAAGATGAACAAGCTGCAGCTACACAGGAGGCTGAATCTCAACAACATTGACTAACAGGCAAATCACTAAAGATTTTAACAAAGTAAGAATTCACTTTTTGTTAAGGGCCGTCGAGTTGGTTCCAACCCATAGCTACTCTGTATAGGGTTTCCGAGGAGTGACTGGTGAGCTTGAATCGCTGACCTTGCAGTTCAAACGGCTTTGCAGTCTGGTGCATTAACCCACAGCGCCACACCAGGACTCCAAGAATTTACTTAGGAGAAACTAAATTATAGTAGGTGATAAATCTGCAGTAAAAAGCAAGATGATTATCACTGAGAATAGGATGTAGAGACCTGGATGAACAAGGAGGGATCTTACTGATGGGAGGGACCTCAGAGCTTGGACCATTGTCCTATAGCTGTATGTGGGTCACGGCCACATGGGTCATGTTTCACAGTCTAATGAGTGAAAACATTGTATGCTACGACTAATTTGTAAAATGAGCACTTGAGTTACTATAACAAAATACACGTAACTTTTATAAGCTAGAATGTAGAACTGTGACTAAAAAAAAGTGCTGTTTGGGCATTTATCGTCTGAGAAGACCTACAGATTGTGAAATACTAGTACAAGGAGGCTTCAGAAAGCTCCTGGAAAGATAGAGTTTGAAGATAATGGAATGAATTTTCCATGAACTTTCCTAAGCACGCACATAAGAACACAGAAAGTCATCTTTTTATACTACAAAATAGTTATAAATCTAGGTAATAAAAATTGATACTATGAGATAATCCAATATAAGATCCTGCTGCTACCATTTTATGAGTTAACAGTGAAAACAAAGTAAAGAGAACAACCATCTTCTAAAATATGTATGCATCTGTGTTCTAGGTGTCTCACAGCCTAACATTTCCCTTTTTGTTTGTTTTTAAAGAAAGGGTGGCTTTTTTGTTGATCTCTTTGTAAGAGTATCTAACCAAGTTGCAGTCAACATGTACAAGCAGTTGGGCTACAGCGTTTATAGGACGGTCATAGAGTACTACTCGGCCAGCAACGGGGAGCCTGATGAAGATGCTTATGGTAAGCTCTTGGGACAGTTCCCTCAAAAAGAAGCCGAAACATTTAGAATTATTCTACAGATAAATATCCAAGTATTTAAAAAAATGTAAAAGAAAACCTACCAGTTTACTTAGATTAACCAACAAATGGTTAAATCCTGTAAATGTTTTATGATGTCTAGGCATGTTACTTTACTACGATTCAGGCAAAAGAACATTTGTGTTTTGAGCTGAATTCTAGGTGGGGACTGGCTAACATCTAGTGCACAAATGGGCTTCAAAAAAATCATGCAAAAATAGGATGAAAAGGTAATAGAATTTTTCCTTAAGGGTTTGAAGCCCCATTGTATTTGCATTGTTCAAGGGGCAACTGTGACCACGGATTTTTGATTGGAGAATGACACCCCTAAAACTCAGGTTGTTCTAAGAGCAACTGCATATTAGGGGCAGTGGGTGAGATTTCTTACAGTCACTTTATTTATACACTTTAAATTTTACATAAATGTTGTTATATTTGATTATCTACATTAACTTTTGCTTCATTATAGATATGAGGAAAGCACTTTCCAGAGACACAGAGAAGAAATCCATCATACCATTACCTCATCCTGTAAGGCCTGAAGACATTGAATAACCATGGGCAGTGGTTCTTAGGCAGATGCTCCAGACAGTTTATGGACAATATTATTTTCATTAGATGATCTTGGAACTGCATTAGGAGAAAAAGAATCATTTAGCTGTTACAGACATCAAGAAAATTCAGGTTATAAACTTATTCTAAACCTCATTGTTTTCATTTAGCAATATCATTCTTATTACTAAAGCTGTTAAAAGGTATCCTGGTAGTATGATGGTTAAGCACTGACTGCTAACTGAAAGATCAGTGGATCAAATCCCCAACAACTACCAAAAAGATTACAGCTTAGGAAACTCTACAGGGCAGTTCCACTCCATCACATGGGGCTGCTGTGAGTCAGCACCTGCTTTACGGCACATAAAGAAGCTGTTCTCTGTAGTAAAATGTAATCAGGAAGGCAGCTAGGTCAAAAGACATTCCACTATCATGGTTCATGATGTCTAATAAATGCTGGGTGAAAACTTAATCCAGTTTACTCCTAAATTCTATGCCTAAGAATCACTGCTGCGTATATATATATTTTATTTTGTATTCAATTGTTAATTGAAGCTTTAAAAGCATATATGAAATGTATAAATCTAAGATGTATAATAAAATACACTGTTAACCCTATAAAATGTTCTCTGGAAGTTTGTTACTCATTTATAAAATTAAATCATAATTGAGAAAAGTCATTGAGGGTATTCTGTTTCTCTTAAGTTACTGATTGTGCTTTGTAATAATTTTATGCATAACTGAAAGAATCCCGACCTAGCATATGCTTCTTCATAGTTACTTGTTTTCGTACTGTTAATCCTGAACCTTTTTTTGGTGGGAGTGACATAAGCGATCAAAATTTACTTTCTCACAGTTTAGGAAGCTACAAGTTTGCAATCAGGGTCCTAGTTATAAGGGAAGGCTTTCTATCCCTGTTGGCTCTGGGGAAAAAGTCCATGTCTCTTTTAGCTTCTGTTCCTTGATAATCTTTTTTTTGAGGGGGGAAAGTAGGTAGGACTAAGGAGTGAGGTTAGGGTAAGGACTTTGGCTAGGTGTAGGCTAGAGACCTGGAGTCCTGGTATGGTGCTCTGGACTGCAAGATTGAACTGCAAGGTTAGCGGTTTAAGCTCACCAGCTGCTTGTCAGAAACCCTATACTGAATGGTTCAGAGAACCGACTAAATGGCACTTAACCACAGCAAGGCTAAGCTTAGGCCTTTAATGTTAAGGGTAAAGCTTTGGGCTAGGGCTAACAATAGTTTGGTGTAGATTTTAGGGTTACAGTTATAGAAGTTCTGTAGCTATATTATTTATTTAAAATTATGTGGTTCTCTTATTTTTTGTCATGGAGGTCTGTTACTTTAAATACTACCCATATCTGGGTTGAGTCTAGGTAATATTGTCATGTATGTTAGTCTCAGGTTGTTTTCTGCTGTTATTTTGTCCAAAGAACTCCCTTTAGTAATTTTTGTAAGGTTGGTCTAGTTCTTACAAATACTTTTTCATTATTATCTAAGAATGATCTAATTTCACCATCATATTTGATGTTGAGTTTTGGTGTATATGTGATTTTTGGTTGGCAATTTTCTCTTTCAGTTTTATATGTCATTCCTTTGTCTTACCTGATCATCTTCTGCTGAGAAATCAGAGCTTAGTCTTAGTTTTCCTTTGTAGATAACTTCGTTTTTCCTGAACTGCCCTCAGGATTCTGTCCTTGTTTTTAAAAGTTTGATTATGTCTTAAGTGTTTTTCTTTTGGAGTCTATTTTGTTTGGAATTCATTCAACTTCTTAAATGGCTATCTTCTCATCTTTTACGATGTCTGGGAAGTTTTCATTCAACAACTCTTGGGTGATCTCTGGCTTTTTTAAAATTCTGAAATCCTAATTAGATGCAAGTTATTCCTCTTAATTGAACAAACAAAAGTTATTCCACAAAAGTCTTAGGCTTTGTTTGGACTTTTGTTTTTTTTTTCCTGATTGTTCCTCTAGCAGATGAATATTGAGATGTTTCTTCAAGCTCAATAATTTGGCCTTCCATTGACAGCAATTCTGCTTCTTTGCCCTTTCGACGTGTTATCGATTTCTGAAGTCAAGGTGTTAACCTTCTAGCTTTCTAATTGGTTTTTGTAGGGTTTCTATTTTTCCATTAATTTTGTCAGTTTTTTCCAAGAATTGTATAGTTTTCATGTTTTCCTTGATTTCATCTGCAGTTTTCTGTCAATTAGATGAAGTTGCCTAAATAGCATTCTTTTAAATTCCTAATAAAGTAATTCTGATACCATTTCTGGTGTTCTATTTTCTGACTACATTTTGGTCACTTGCTTTTTCATATAAGCTGAAATTGTCTTTTTCCCGAGACATTGTGAAGTCATATTTTTATTTAATTGCTCTTTGTATATTGGTGTGTTCTAGGCACTCACCTCCTGTGTCTTAGTGGATGTGGTAGACTAGAGTGTGAACACAGTTCTCTGTTCACTGTGTTGTAGTTAAGGGTGGATTCATGTACCTCTAGAAACAGGTTGTAGTAGCCTTTGGTTTGGCGAGGGTGGGGATTGGGTGTACATTGGCCACCAGGATAGTGTGGCAACAAGAGAGAACTGCACCCCCTTGCTGCCAACTTCTAGCTTCATCCTGTGCCTGTAGGCTGCTGTATCAATGTTGTTGTTAGGTGCCATCGAGTCGGTACCGACTCACATGGCACCTTATGCACAGCAGAACAAAACACTGACCGATCCTGAGCCATCCTCACTACTGTTGCCATACTTGAGTCAAATCCATCTCGTTGGGGGTCTTCCTCTTTTTCTTTGACCCTCCACCTTACCAAATATGATGTCCTTCTCCAGCGACTGATTGTTATGTACCACGGAGTCGGTTCAGACTCATAGCAACCCTGTACAGGGTTTCCAAGGCTGTAAATCTTTACGGGAGCAGAAAGCCTCATCTTTCTCCCACGGAACAGCTGGTGGTTTCTAACTGCTGACCTTGCGACTTGCAGCCCGATTCGTAACCACTACGCTAGCAAAAGCTCGATTGCTGTGCCATTCCACACAAACCTATTTTTCTTCTCTCATTGCTCCTGTTCAGCTTCCTCCTCCAGATGGCATGCAGTCCACCTCTGTCCTCTTCTCTGTTCAGGGTTCCAGGATCACCTATCTGCCTTACTAGATTTCCCATGTCTGTTGCAGAGGGCTGGCTTGGTGCATCTGCCTACCACCTTGTCCTGAGAGTCCCTGATCTTTTCTTGCTTTAGTTTCTCTCCATAAAGATTCAGAGATTGTTTTATAAAGAGAAAAAGAATCTAACTCAACGAAAAGCCATAAAGCTAGATCATAAGCCATCATGTAGTAATATGTAGTTCCATCACCTGCAATTATCAGAATATCCAGGGAATGGAAGATATAGCTAGAGAAAAATCCACAAATAATGTTTATGAAAAAGCTTTTACTATTAAAAGGAATTATTTTGGTATGGCTAAGGGCTGTTGCCTAAAGATGACCTGATTATATCATTTAGTAAAAGGTTTCCATGATTCTCATCAAAACATCCTGCTATGTTACTATAGTTTTAAGAATCATTTTTGTTTTCTACTGAGAATAACTTTTCTTCATGCATTTTATTCACACTGGTACTTGTAAGAAATTTGTTAGGAGTTTACACTGAGTACATGAGTGGTGGGTTTTTTTTTCTTATTTATGCATGCAACATAAAACAAAATTCTAGAAAGATTCCATGACTGTAGTTACTTATGTATTTTGACCTGCTCTTATTTCACCCTTGACTTGTAAAGTGCTGTCAAGTCAGTTCCGACTCAGCAACCTTGTATAGGGTTTCTGAGGAGCAGCAGGTGGATCTGACCTGCTGACCTTGTGGTTCACAGTCCAGTGCTGATCCTATAGTGCCATACCAGGAATCTTATCATTCTAGAAAGATTTCATAAATTTAGTTACTTACATGAGTATTTTGACCAGCTTTTATTTCATCCCTTGACTTAATGAAGGGATATTAAGAAGTCTGTTCACTGACTATTAAGTGTTGTACAGTTGGTTCTGACCCATAGTGACCCCGTATACAGGGCTTCCAGGGAGTGGTTGGTGAGTTTGAATGGCCGATCTTGTGGTTCAAACCGATTGTACAGCCCAGTGCTTAATCCCATAGCACACCAGAACTGTTGAGTGCCATCATGTCAGTTCTGACTTAGCGACCCTATAAAGGGTTTCTGAAGAGCAGCTGGTGGGTTTGAACCGCTTACCTTGCGGTTCAAACTGAACTTGCAGTCCAGTGCATTATCCTACAGCGCCAACACCAGTACTTGTTGTTGTTGTTGTTATGTGCCATCGAGTCGGTTCCGACCCATAGCGACCCTGTATAGGGTTTCCGAGGGTGTAAATCTTTACGGGAGTAGAAAGCCTCATCTTTCTCCCGCGGAGCACCTGGTAGTTTCGAACCGCTGACCTTAAGGTTCGCAGCCCGATTCGTAACCACTACGCTACCAGAGCTCCCTAAAACCAGTACTAGACCCCACCAAAGTCAGAACCCATCTAACACCCTACCCTAGTGGCAGACATTGTCCAATGAGCACAGATTTGCTTTTTATCCAAATAGTTTGATTTTCTTTTGCCCTCATATACTGCACCTTATTTTCAAGTTATAATAGAACTATTGACTTTATTTTAATCCCTTGAGTGAATAACAAATTTGTATGTTGAATCATAAATCACCTCTGGTTCTTTGTGTAAATAACATTCTCTGGAAGACAATGCTAGTTAAATATCTTGGTCAGTGATCAAAACAAGAAAAATGTGCTTGAGAAATAGAAGCCAGGTGAAAGGAAACAACTTCTTAGATTAGTTAAGGCATATATTTAAGATAGAATGAGCAGAGGTATCATCCTTTTGCTACTTTAATTATATAACAGCTACCTCAGTCTTTTTACACATGCTCTAAACCAAGGGTAGGTGTCTCAGCTGTGACCAGTGTGTTCTCAACATGGCAGGATATGATTAGAAAACAATACCAATAGC